ATACATGCAAAAGCTTTGTGGGAATTATGGATGGCAATCCAGAGAAAGTGTATGCTGACTCATTATGTGCATGCTAGGCATATACGTAATAGAGACGTCTCTTTTGTGCCTCTGAAAGATACCATGAGATTTCTGTAATTTTCAGACACTACGAGAAAAACACAAACCAGCATTCTTCTCTTTGCATGAAGCACAGAGGTCCCATTCATGTAGCAGCTACCTCACTCAGAGCACATAATTTCTGCTCTACAAAAGGGCTGAGGATTTTCAAGGCAGTTTCTGCTTTGCAGCCCATTTGATATTTTTGTCTTTTAGTTCACGTCACAGCTCAGCTTGGATGTAAATTAAAGCAGGTGAGAGCCTGCTTTTGGGAGGCTTTTAATCTGCCTATGCAGCTGGGACAAAAGTTAAGAGCTGGAAGAGAACAAAAAAAGGCAAAGGTGCACATGTTACTGGAATAGACAAATGCACAGCTTTGAAGTCAATGGACCTTTGGCAGTTTACTCCACCTGTGATTTAATAAACCTGGTAGGCCATGAAATATTTCATAATTAACTTTAACATTCTTAAATGTGTTGTATGTTTTATGGACTGGTTTTAACAACCTGTAAAAAAAACCAAAACGTATTATGCTGTAAATTGAACAAGGAAGCAAGAACAGATTATAATACCTAAAAGGTGAATTAACACTTGCTAGGGAATGCATTATCTGACTTCTTTAACTTGCCATTTTAACTGTTGCAAGAATAGCAATTTTGGGTTCTTCTAGTAATAGTTTGGGGATTTTTCAGGAGATGTTAAGTAGGCAAAGAGTGTCAGGGCTTGCTGGGGGACATGGAGAGGGGCCCATGGGATGGAGCAGCATCAGGGAAGGGCCTCTCAAACCAGGGCCCATCCCCAGTGAAAGAGCAGGGTAAGACGTCTCAGTTGGGTGAGGAATTCTGCTAGCAGCATCTTCTGTCCAAACAACTAGGGTCCATTCTTTTTCACACAGTGTGTTTTCTGGAGGATTGTGGACTGTTTCTGGTGATGTGGAGTTCCACAGGTGCCAGCTGTGCATCAGATCAAAATCCATCCAAAATAAAACATGGTCCCCATGAATGTAGCAGTGACCCAGCCACTTCATTTACACAAAGATACTGTTTGTGTCATAATTTCCATCACTGTGCATTAATATTTATTCTCCCAGTATTTTAAAGATACTTGTGATTCTGATGTGAGGGAAAAATTAAGATGATTTCAACAGGAAATGGATTTTTGTACAAGATTCCCCTCCCCTTCCAATTTCAGTGTAGCAGCTGCTGTTGCCAGGCTGTCTTTGTTGCTATGGTGGTGGTTTGTGTGCCAGAATTTTATATTCACTCTTGCAGAGTCACCTGATTGAGTGGCTGTGCCACAGAAGTTATCAGGCTCACTGGTGAAGATAAAGGCTGTATCTGACTGCTGTTCTGTATGTATGGCATCTTGTGAAGGGAGCAGATGAAACATAAACAGATTCCAGTGGCCTCTGGCCATCAGCTTATGGAAGAATTAGCAGATGATCTCTCTCAGTAAATGAGTGACTTCTGCATTTGGAAGGTGGCATTTCTTAGCACACAAAGCAGCTTCCCCACACCTTGTGGCACTTGTCTCAGTCAGGTATGAGCTTTGCTGTCTGCATGACGTGAAAGTAGCATTTTAGCAGAAGCACTGAGCATTAATCAGAGAGAGTGCCACATTTTCTGTATTTCTTTTCCAGAGTTGTTCCATAGAACTTAATTATCCTGCTCCCACTGATAATTAGAGTATAATTTGACCCAATTTAAAATGCAGTAAGGATGATAAACTCAGCTTCACCAGAAGTAAAGCTTTAATCCCAAATCCTGCAAATACTTATGTTTAACTCTTAGTGCACCATTGCAAGGAAGCATTTGCAAGGCTGAGGTCCCTGCTTCTCTTCAAAATCCAGAATTGCACCAATAAACTCAGAATAGCAAGTGAAATAGAGATTTAATATATTATTTCTCTGAACCCAAATTTAAAACAGTAAATTTAGGTTTTAGTGCATTTCTCATATCACTTCACAGAGTCTGTGTAGTTTTTGCGTGTCTTCATTTGACTTTGGTCAAAGCCATCTGTTATTTAAATTAGTTTTCGCTCCTTTCCTGATTTGTTTACACACATCCAGATGTGTATCTAAAACATTGTGTATTCAGTTATTCCTCTGGAAATGAAATATTGGTACCTAAGCCCCTTATATAAAAAATAATGCTTTATTGGGTATATTGCATTTGAACAATTTGTATTATCTATGTAAGGCAATCACTTTACTGTCTAGGCTGAGATTTTTGAGCCTAGAGAAATGAAAGTATCCTGAAATAGTTCTTGCAGCAACATGAGACCAGCCAGGTATTACATCTGATTTGTATGATTTGGAATAACCACTCGAATAAGCCTATTGCTGGCTGGGTTTTTTTTTCTAACACCACATCTTTCCTTCACTCTTAGAACTGGAAGGGGCTGAGTGAAGAAGAAATAGAAAATAAGTGTGTAGATGTCTTAACTGAAGCTTTGAAGAAAGGCACCTGGTTTTTCTTTTACAAGGCTTAGGCCAATCATTTAAGGACAAAGTCTTTGTACTCTTTCTGGGTGTAACAATCCTGCTGAGTAGAGCTGGTTTCCAGGTCTCTGATCCCAAGCTTGGTGGGAAAGGATCTAGATAGAGACACCCAAATTGTGTTTGCAGTATGTACTAGGTACCAAGTAATGTGCTCCTTGCTGCAGCAGATGCCAGTGAAGCAATAGCAGTAACACATGAGCTAGCTATCTGGGTTGAAACTAAAATTCCCACTGATTTCACAGAGCCCTGGATTTCAGCACAGGCTGAATCACAAGCACTTTCCAGAGCTGTAGTTTAAAAGGCCCAGGCATAATGTCATTTCCTTTTGTGCTGCTTCTTCCTCTTGAGGGAAAATTCATTAGATACCTGCCATATGAAAGGTGTGTTTCTCTTCAGACAAATACTATCAGATTAAAATACGCAAGTCTGAAAAACCACAGAATTGCTCCAGACAAAACTTTGTCTCTGTAATGAAGTTACAGAAGGCACCAGTATTAGAGCCTATCCTTATCCATAGGCACACTTCTTCCATGTTCAGGTCCATGGTTGCTGGGAGCCTATGGCTTCATCATGAATCCTGAGCTATCATAAATTGTGATTTGTTTTTCCCTAACAAAGACTGTAAATGAGTCTAGGTCAAATAAAAGTGGATTTGTGGGTTTGTTGAGAACTGCCACAGAAGTGCCACTATTCCTGGCAGGTTTACATCTTCCCAAGTTCTGATTTCAGTAGACTACTGGGAATGCAAGAGTTAAAGGATCACAAGTAAGTACTGTAGCACCAGTATTCTATGCTCTTATTTTCTGTGGGTTTTAGTAGTATTTTCATTCTTTTGTATATGCAATATGAAATGAGATGAAAAGGCCGTTGTGCAAATAGCCCTGAAAATCTCTCCCTTTTCCCCCGCATGGAGCAACCCCATCCGTCAGTGCAGTCAAAGGCAGAATTGGTTATTGTTGCTTTAAGTCATGGCAAATGGCTGGGAATTACAGCACAGCAGGGAGAGAGCAGGCTCTCATCCTGACTGATGTGGCACCCATGTTTGCAGGGAAGGTTAATAAGAACAAAAAATAGATCCAGTGGATTAATTGGCCTTGAAATGTGTCCGCTGTGTGCACAGGCTATGGTGAAAGAGCAGATTCACCTCTCACTAAAGGCAATCAAAAGTCTTTCATTGAAGGGGAAGAATCTGGAAAAGGCCCAGAGGAAAAGCTTTAGCAACTCTTTATAGTAAGAGCAAATCAGCAGTCCAATATGCCAGTTTTGTAGGTTTTTAATTAAAAAAAAAAAAACAAACAAACCCAGAACCAACATCTCCAGACTCAAATTTAAGAAAAAATACTTGGTACTAGTTTGAAATATAATTCCTCCAAACTAAGTTAAAAATACATACAAATACATTTTTTTCTGTGTCATTTGCTTTGTCTGTAGCAGAAATTTGGCCTGCTGCCCCTAAATCCCAAGGGTCACTTGGAAACCCCTACAGAGAAATTAGAAATCTCATATGCTGTGTCATCTGATGCTTTATCTCTGCACAGGGGCTCTAACAGAGAGGTCATTTTGTGGAGCACTTTGTTCTTTAAAAATATTTTCCTTTAAAACCTCTGGAGTTAGAATTTTTCTGGGTGAGAGGATGTTTTGCCATCCTTATGCCTTCTGAGCTGAGTATACCTAAAACTGAATTAAGGTCACATTCCTTTGTTCTGAGGAAGCCTCTCCATGTGATGAGATCAAAAAGCTGTGGTAAAGCAGTTTCTGTGTATTTAAAGCATGAAGCTTTGGGAATTGTTTGTGCCACTCTTTCAATTAAAAGTTGTTCCTCTTTTGGCATCACTATGCAGGCTCAGTCAGCGCTGTCCCTCTGCTTTTGCCAAAACTATTCCCTCAAAACTAAAAGATAAAAAGTTTCACTCAAGAGGAGGGAGAACTGCGTTGAAGGTGGCAGAGCACTGGGTGGAATCCCCCTCTCCGGAGACATCTCCCAAAGCCACCTGGGCACATTCCTGTGTCACCTGCCTCAGGTGCCCCTGCCTTGGAAGGGATGCTGGGCTGGGTGATCTCCAGAGGTCCCTTCCAACGCCAACCATTGTGAAATTCCCGGTGCGGAAATTTAGCGGCCCGCGGGAGCGCTCCTGGCCGCATCTCTCAGTGGGACGAGACGCACGGACACTCACCCTCGCTCCCTTGCAGAGCGTTTCGGAGCCCCACGCGTGCTTCCCGCGGAAGGAGGCGGATCTCCCGTTCCCAGCGTTTCCTGCCGTCCTCCTGGCTGCCGGAGGAGCCGCGGCGGGGCCGCGCCTCCGCTCGGCGGAAGGCGGCCGGGAGGTGGCGCCGCGGCGCCGCCGGCGCTGCCCTGGGCGCGGGGGAACCTCGGGGGCCGAGCCTGGCGGGGCGGGAGGAGGAGCGGAGGGAGGGAGCGGAGCGGGCAGCGCCGCGGCTCCGTGCCCTGCGTGCGTGCGTGTGTGTGAGAGGAGCGGGCGGGCCGGCGGTATATAGAGGATGTGCCGCCGCATGGCTCGCCCCGGCCGCTGCCGCGCCAGCTCCTTGGGCCAGCGCCAGTGAAGCCTCTCGCCCTCGCCGCCCGGGCAGCCGCCTCCCTGCCCGCTCCCGGCGCCTCTGCCGGCCTCTCTGCCGGGTTTCCGGCGCCCCGGCGTCCCTCCTGCAGCGGCCGCTTCCCGCGGCTCCTCCGCGCCGGGGCAGAGCGAGCGCGTCCATGCGGTGCAGATGGCCGGGGCACAGCCAGGGGTGCACGCTCTGCAGCTCAAGCCCGTCTGCGTCTCCGAAACCCTCAAGAAAGGCGTCAAATTCGTCAAGTGGGACGATGTGAGTAGCCCCCGCTCCCCCCGGCAGGGGCACGGCGGGGTTGCGGGGCGATCGGGCGGGAGGGCTGTGGGCCCTGTCCCGCCGGGCGCGGAGGGCAGGTGCGGGGCGGCCGCAGCGGTGGCCCCGCCGGGTGCTGCCGGGCCGAGCGGCGGCGTTGGGCCGGCGGCCGAATGCCGGGCAAACTTTCCGAGGTCTCTCCTGTCGAGTTGCGCTTGGCCGGTGCGGGCTGTGTTGGGCTGGCTCCTTTCGCCAGCGTCTTCCTCTCCCGCCTCCCGCGTTTCGGTGTGCGTGTTGCCGCCTCTGTCTTCCTAATGTAGTTGTTTCAACCTGTTCTCTCGTTCCATCTCCCGTCTCCTCCTCTCAGCCTCGCCTTTTCCTTCTGGCTCCTGCTTCTCTCGCTGTCTCTCTTGTTCTGGTGGAGTTGTCAAGCCCTAATGTGTTCTCCCAGTTTTGGGTACCCTCGGTCGCTTTACTTCCTCTGCAGAAGACACTCTTCTTTCTTGGCTCATTAGGGCATGAGACTTGCCACACCATCGTATCTGTTTTCCCTTTACTGCTTGCTGTTTCCCAACCCTTTACGTTTGTATAGCCTCATATAGGAAAGGAGTGCGGTTTCCACCTCACCTTTGGCTGGGCAGCTGGGATTTCTTCCTTGGCATGCTGGCTATGCCCGGGACACTTTCAGAGCAAAGGAGAGCTAAACGTCAGAGTTGCCTTTTTCTAAGCCTGCAGAGAAAGAGAGCAGGACGAGTCCTCTGCTTGCTTTTGCTCTGGCAGTCCCACGCTGGCTGTATGTGTCTCAGTTGTGCGCGGAGGAGCAGGTGCCCCAGAAACTCTGTGGACGGTGTCTGGGGGCACAGAGGCATCGTGAGACTCGAGCTGAGGTAGAGAAATGGTTGGGAGAGAAGACATGCAGTCTGAATGTCAGGAGAATTGTTGAGAATGAGTTTGTTCTCAGAGCTCTTGCGTGTTTGCTGTGATCTTGGCTGTGCTAAAGACATCCACAGCAACAACTGGAGGGACAGCAGTGAGGGAGGAGCAGTTCATCTGTAACCACTGTTCTTGGCTTGTGTCTTGTTCTTTTGCCGTTTCTTTCAGCCTGTCCAGCAGCCAAATAGTGTGAGTCTGACCCCTGTAAGCCTGTGACAAACACTCTTAAGGAGAAAGAGAAATCAGAAACCAAACAACTTGTGAAGTTTTATTTACAGTAATAAGCTAACACATTTTTAAAAGGCTCGGCAAACTGACCTTGTCCGCAATACCAAACAGTGGCTTGATATAGGTTCTGTATGTTCAGGAACTATGCTTGAACCAGAAAACATTTTCTTTTGGTTAACGTTTTCCTTAGGGTAGGAAAAGGCAGCCTTGTCATTGCAGTTATTGTTTTATTTTTGGTAAGCTACCAAGAAACTTTTGCGTGTGTATGCAGAGGTCAGGTTAACGATGATTTGAGTCTCCAGACTGAAACTCCAAGCCATCAGGTAACAGTTTAAATTATTAGAGTGCTATTTCCCAAATAATAGTTGCGTAGATAGAATTGAAAAATTAAGAGGCGCATCCATGCGCAGTGGATGTTCACCCGATAACCTGCCTGCTACAGGCTAGTTGATAGAAAGATTTAAAATTGTAAACCTGAAGGCTTCACTAATAAAACATGGCTAAATTCTGGAGAAAGATCTGTGTTTTGTGTTAAAGGTGTTACTCAGCAGTCCACAGGTGTTACCTGGAATATGTGACTGAGTTGAGTCCTGTTGTGCCTAGTGATTGCTTTCATTGTCAGCCTTGTGAAAGTTGATGCCCATTTAGCCACACTGTGATTAAGAATTCTAGCATTAGCTCATTGACTGTGCATTGTGTGTATATATCTGCATGTTTCCCACCCCTCAGCCCTCCTGTCTTGCCTGTAGTTTCTCAGCAGTGGAAGCCCCACAGAATCCAAGGTTTCAAGGGAAGGGAGTTTCCTCTGCCACTCTGGCTCATACACTGATGTTTGTTAAGCATCGTTTCTTTTCACTGTGTGAGAGTGGGAGTTCAGTTCTTCCACATCCCCTGTGCACTGGGACAGCTTCTATCCTCTCCTTGTTCTCTTCCCTGCTGTTTTGGGTTGCAGTTTAAAGATGGCCCTACTGACTTTGCTTTGCGTTTTATGAAGCAGAAGTGGTTGTTGTGAATTCTTACTACTCATACCAAGTTTCAGCCCAAAGCAAAATTTTTCTAGCTGAGCTTTAAACTAATGGGAATGCTGGAAGCATTTAAACAAGAGCGTGAGAGGCGTTGAAGGAATTCTGTATTGTGTGGAGTAGCATTACAGAAAGTGTTTGCCAGCTTTGAGAAGGACACTGTGGCAAGCTGTGCAAGCTGTTGTCTGACAAAACCTGTGGTGGTACAGACTTGGAAACCAGTCCATGTATGGACCTCCCATCCTGAGCCTCTCATAGCTCTGTGCCTGGTCAGTAACTGAGGTGCTGCTAGCAGATGTGGTACTGACAATTCTCATGAACCCCCTCTGAGGAACAGCACTGAAATCTGCTACGTGTGACCCATGAGCCTCATCCAGTACCTGCTGCCCCTGCCCTGTGGGGATGGTCCAGCTGGAAAGGGAAATGCTGTGCCTGAGCTTGGTGAAGTGCAGAGGAGGAGGTCACATCAGCCGTTCCAGATCACAGATAGGTGGAAGGCTTGGAATTCTATTTCCTCTGCAGACCATCTTCAGTTTATAAATTAAAAAAGCATTAGGATCAATTAAAAAGGTCTGGCTTTGCAAGACAAGACACTCTTTCATGTCTTGGAATTGGATGTAATATTGCTCCCACCATCCAATGCCTAATACACTGTTCACAAATTCCATTTATGATCAGGGTGTGAAGTGCTAAAGTCAAACAGTTAATTGTTGTTCTGTAACTTTGCTTCTCCTCACACAGTATTGTATTCTGTAACAGTATTCCAGGTCAGAAAGCAAATTTTAGAATGATCTGTTGTTTTGGGTGTGTAGTTTTGGATTCACAAGGCACTGAGCAGAAATAGCTGCTGTTAGAATCTGTGAAAGATAAAAGAGGCTGGTTGCTTCTTTGTTTTTTGTTTCCATGTGTGTGCCTGGTTCAGACAGTGGTTGGCTCAAGTTGTTTCTTGAGTTGAGCCTCTATAGCTGCTTCTTCCTGACTGCTGGTCTGGCTTTGAACAGCTGTGCTCTTGTATTCCTAGAGAGAACTGAGAGAGGGGGAAGGACTGGCTGGATCCTCTCTGCTGTAGTTATAGCAGCTTTTCCTGATGAGAGTTTGAAGTAGTTTAATAAATAAATGTAGTTAAGGTCACAGGTGAAATTTTTTTGGTAAGAGTTTGAGCTTCAGGTAGCAGAATGTGTTGCTCAGCTGAGAAGGGTAAGGAAACTTGAGTATAAAGAGCAACTTCTCCCAGGAATTATCTGTCTTGAGGGCTGAAATTTGCCCTGGCTGACTCCTTTCCTTGTTTTTGTCTGGCCTGTAGTGGGAACAAGATAGACATGACTGAGTCTTTAAGTAGCTCAACAGCCAGAGCACAGCTGAGCTGGTATTTTCTCTGATCTGGAACTGGCACACTGTAGCAAGTTAATATGATGGTGTATGTTCAAAAATAGGTTTGTTTTAATTTCTTGCTTTAAAGGCTTTCTTATCTTCCCTAGTGATAATATGTACTTTGCATAAAGGTTTTGACTGATCTCTCTCTGTGGCTCACACTATTTACTTTCACTTTTAAGTTAAGTATATTGCTAAGATGAATTCTACCTAAATTGAGGGCCAGGATTCCAGTTTTCTAGCCACATCTTTTTTTTTTTCTGAGCATTGGATTACTGCAGCAAACCTCCTGACAGGTAGCATTGCTTAGTGGCTGCAGAACTTCCCCAGGTGAGTAGCAAAATAGAACCCAGGTATTTTAAGTTTTTTTAATGTCTTTCTCTTAGAGCACTTTGTCTTAATAAAGCATTTTTAAGCTCAGAGTTAACACTCTGGAGATTTGCAGGCTTCTTTATCTGTTTAGAATGTTTTAAAGAAGACTATCAAGAGTATCCCCTTTAACCTCACAAGTAAACATAACATCAGAGAATCTTTATTATGGATAAACTGAGATGAAATGAATAAACAGCTTGGAATTTTTCAGAAGTTATTTTAAGTAACTTTTTCCCCCCTGCGTTTTTTTGTTTATTTTTAAACAGTACACGAGCCTGCCACTCCAGTACATTAGTGAGGACATGAAAAATGAGAGACCATTGTTCCTGTTTGTATAAAACTAAAACAATAAGCTGAAGAGTTTATTTTTTTGTGAACACTTTCAGTCTGGAGTGAAGTGGTCAGGTCCGGCATTCCAGAGTTTTTGTTGTTTCTTCCTTGTTGCTAATCTTTATGTAGTAAACGAGTATCAGCTCTGGGATATTTATAAGTTTTTTATCTGAATAATTATAAGTTGGTCTTTTGCAACAGAGGAGATTGAATTTAGAGTTGTAAAGAGTTAATATTTAGTATCAGAAAGCCTGAACTTGGTTAACTCTGTTGGAAAGCTTTCTATAACCTCAGTGTGGGGGGAGAATAAGATTTGGATCTGCTGCAGATGGGTTAATGCCTGCCTGTGTAGATCTGATATTCAAGTCAGAGATGATATCTCTATTAGTCGGGTTTTGGAGCCCTTTGGAGTATTAGTGGATACATGGGAAAGTGAAAAACAGAAAACGGCTCTGAAATAAATGAGCATTCTTTGAGAGAGGGAAGTTAACTGGGAATTTGGGTTGTACACTGTGTGCTTTCCTCACTTCATGATCAAGACTGTTTTGGATTTTTAAACAAAACCTGGAGTGATATAATCAACACACAATTAACTCTTGCAGTCTATTTCTAACTATGCAGTCTTTGATCCATTATAAAGTAAATGCTTCATAAGCACTTTTCAATTTATTTTCATGAGGCCCATTGAATGACAGAATGTTTCCAGTTGTACTGTTGAAGATCCAAAAAAAGACCAACATTAAAATC